ATTCTAAGGTTTCTCCATGTAGTATAACAAGGACAATAACAAGGAAAAATATTCTAAAATCATGTACTTTACAATGATAAGAACTTGAAAATCTCATTATTTTSTCAATCCTTCACATATWTGTACTGTAGTTTCTAGTTTTATCACAGGCAGCCCAAGCMCAGAGAGAAAGCTAAAACTTGAGTTTTTTTATTTAAGATGATGATTGCTGAGCTTGGGCTTCCTGTTTTTTTCTCTAGCTTTCTTGAATCAATAGATGAGGTGATGGTTTTGGCACCCCTGCTGAGGAGTAGCCAAAGCAAAGTGTTGCAAAATAACRAGGATATAGTGAGAAATCAATGTCAAATAATTCCTGCTGAATTCGAATATGGAAATAGTTATCAGTTGCAAACRTTAGATACTGCAAAAAGGAGTWCACTGGCCAAATTTGAAGGGCGTACTTGATCTARTGGAGCGAGTAAACGCATTTTTAGTTCCCCATACATTTCTCTGTAATTTCCGGGGTCATCAGCACGTGACGTGYGTGAAAAATACAAAGAAATGTATTGAGAACTAAAAATGAATTTACTCACTCCCTAGATGAACTGTTTCCTTCAGGTTTGGCCAGTTAACTCCTTTTTTTAGTATCTAATGTTTGCAATKGATAATTCTTTCCAAATTTGAATCCAAAACTGTCACCTCAACTATTCACATTCAAATTTAACAAACAAGAGTGTTTTTAACTTATATTTTGGTCAGAAATTGCTTTGACAATGTAGAATTTATCAACTCAATAGTCACCCTTATCCGAAATTGAACTTAAAGTTGTATGACTTTCCTAATTCAAACAATCTTATATAAGCTTAAAGGTATTCCTCATGTTTGAAGAAGTACAGTTCAAAATAAATAGATAATTTTACCTTCAGTTTCATGTTCCTTTCCTATGTCATCTTTAATGTCAGCAGTATTTGTCTATCATCAATAAAACTTACATTTAACAAAGAAGAAAAAACACCTTTATGCATGCCTTTAATAAGCTTTAAGCTTAAGTTTATCTACAGTGAAAAAAAACTTATAATTAATGCTCACCTGTTTTTCATCATTTCCTTCACTGACATCAGCTGATTTTTGGGTAGTTGTTGTCTCACTCATGTTGTATTAATCTAAAACAAAAATGCTACATAAACACAGGGAAAAGTATTCAGACTTCGCACAGTATGTACACGTAGCTGCAAGTTTCGTTTGGCGAGTTGGCACGACCTAGTAACAGAATCCTTCGATAGAGTAACTTCCAAAACTGTACTTTGGCAAGTTTATAAACCTAACTAATTATGAATTTCTAAATCTCAAGTTTCAAACTGTCGCTGTATCTTAATGAAAGTCTTATTAGGACAAGCAATGTAACCTAAATTTCGCCGGAAAATTAAGAGCATTCCATTCACGCAATACAATAAGAATCTGATGTAAGCTAGAGCATATTTCAACCAGAAAAAGTAATAAACAAGATGTAAATGCTATACTTTACCTCTAATATAAGTTAAGAAGAACTAAAAACTAAGAAACACAGTGTTATCCAGTTATTTTAAGCAGACTTTTATCGTCTTTCTCTAAAACTTTGTCGCCATGTTGATTTTATGCGCATTACCAGGTGCGCATAAAAAGAAGCCGCATTCCGCTGACGCKCTATCGCTTGTGTTCTGAGCCGCCAACGCGGCATTGTTTTCGCGCCAAAATAACGCTATTCCGAGCGGCGCTCTCAAGAGATCAAATATGCCGAATTACATAAGACCATAGAAATGAAAAAGACCGAAAACAGCAAAAATAAAACCAGCTCCAGTTGGAGCTGCATTCAAACGAACTGCAAGGGGTCTACTGTCAGCAGGATAAAGCATTTCGCCACTTGAAAAAAGTGGCTGACTTTTAATTTGCGCATGCAGCTTCAACATATTTTTTATTATCTAAATTCTTACGAACCTTTAAAGAATTTCTGTGATAGTTTTGTGATTATATTGTAAACCGTTGGGACGGAATCGAAAAAATAAAACCAAAATTGTGTCAAAATTCTGTATTTTCCATTTGGCTAGTAATAAAGAGATGTATTTAAAAACGACTTTATGGAGCTCCTTCAATAAATGTTTGTCTGAGACGGTAGCATTCCGTTATTTCAATCAGGACTTGTCAATGACTGCTGTCAAACTTTTATTCTATAATTACACATGCGTCAAGATACACCCAACCCAATGCCATTTCGTAGACTGATATAAAATCATTATTGTAGATGCATCCCACACATTTTCGTCTTATAAAAGCACAACAAAACTGCTTCCTGATTTTTACAAGCGAAGGGATAGAGTACCTGGGAACGAGGTTGTCGGGAGTACAGACGGGGACGGAACAACGAACAAATAATGTTTTTAACCTCTTTAACTATTTTGTTTTTTAATATTTTTTTATGTAGCAAAATATACATTTAAAACCGTCAGTATTAACATCAGGACTAGGAATTGTGACTTGTAAACCAGTCAGTCACGTAAAAACCTCCCTTAATGTCTATGTACAATTCAATAATTTTTTGATATCTATGGGTTGAAACTTGTAATAATTTGTCTTTTAGTTGTGATACTTTATCGTTGCGGGTTTATACTACTAATATTTGAACGCAGTCAGCCAGCGCTGGTACCATGTTAGAATTCATCATGGATTGGATGCTGTTGAAAAGAACAGAAAAGAAAA